ATCTTCCCTTGGGGCCAGTGGTTGATGCTAATCAAATACATCAAAACCGTGAGATGCTGTGAAAACCTGGAGCCAACACCTGATGCCAAATTCTCCCAGCTTTGGCCACGTTATCAGCTCTCTGAGGCACTGTTAGCCCCCAGTCTGCCTTGGGGACAGGGTCCTGTCTGGGGTCTGCCTTGGCAGTCAGGTCAGCATACATGGGAGAGCCAGGCCTCCGACCATAGAGACCTAAGTGGGAGGGTGGGAGGGAGTGGGTGCCCGGCCATCAGCACGAATCATGCTATTTCCCACAACTCGGAGAGAAATGTGTTGGAATGAAGGTGGCAACCAACTCTAGCAGGTTTCCTTCCAAATCTGGAGGGGTTAAGGAGACAGGGCCACTCCCATCCCACAGCCCCACAGAAAACATGCTCTGGAGGGAAGCAAATGGGCTCGCTGGCATCACGTTCTGCTCTCTGTTCCAGGGGGCTTGTCTAATGACAGGCCTTCTGGCCCAGCCACAATCCTTTCCCTTCCTCCCGGCTTAAAGGTTGTCTCACTTGCTAACAGAAAGCCCTTTTCTAAAACAGCCACAGGCAGGAAAGTTCTTTGGATTTCCTAAACCAGGATTTGAAGAATTGAGAAAGGGAGGTGCTGGTGGAGGTGGTCTTCTTTAAACAAGGTGTCACGTCTAAACGGAACTTGTTTTTCAATTTACTGAATGGTGGTCCAGGGCTAGAGCGGCAAGAAAGGGCTGCTGCGGTGTGAGCCCACTTGGGCTGGGGGGCTGATGACTCTGCTTCCATTTGCCTTCTGGCTTGGATCAAAAGGGCCCGGAAACCCCAAGTATAGATGACAGAAGGGCTCAGAGTCATCACACTCAGCCCTTCTCACAGCGGGATCACCTTTATTAGGCAGGCCTCCTCAGGAAACATCTCAATCCAAACTTCACATGTTGGCCCCAGGTCTGCCCTCAGCCCCGGGCTCTTAAGCCTCTAGCGTCTTAGTACAAGCCCCTGAAGAGGGGTGAAGGGTGTTCAATCAAAGGCAAGAAACAGAGCCCTTCAGTCTTTACGGCCCATGAGGGGTGCGGGTGGGAAGGCCTGTCTCCATGTACCAACCCCATTCCCTTCCCACTCCCTGCCTGGGATCAAACAACCACCCCTGCCTGGATGATAAATTAAGAAAGCAAATATCAAAGTAGAAGTTCTGCCTTATTACTACCTTAGCTGTTGTAATGAATGTTTATTCCTTGCACTTGTGCCCTGGATAATTTTTAAAAAGAGAAAGAAAAAATAATCTGCAGATGAAAGCATCTGGTATAGAGCCAAGCCCCTCCAGCCCTCATCTCAGGCATGCTCCAGGCAGACTGGAGCAATGCAGCCCATCATTAACCGGCCACCGGGGAGACCTGGGTTTGTGCACATGAGGAACATGGAACTATTTCTCAGAAATGAGCACCATCAAAAGTTAACACGGAACTATTTCTCGCAGCTGAGCAACATCAAAAGTTAACCTAAGCAATTCCATTTCCAGTTGTATGCCCGAAAGAACTGAAGGCAGGGACTTGAACAGAGATTTGCACACCCATGTTCATAGCAGCATTATTCACAATAGCAAAAGGCGGAAACAACCCAGGCACACACTGATGGATGAATGAATAAGAAAAATGTGGTGCACGTACGTGCAATGGGATACTACTCATCCTGAAAAACGAAAGCCATCCTGACACATGCCACAACGTGGATGAACTTTGTGGACATTATGCTGAGTGAAATAAGCCATTTGTTCACAAGAGGATAAATACTGCATGATTCCACTTATATGAGGTATCTAGAGTCATTAGATTCATACAGACAGAAAGTAGAATGGAGGTTGGCAGGGGCTTGGGGAGATAGTGTTTAATGGGTAGGAAGTTTCCGTTTTGGGGATAGTGAAAAAGTCCTGGAGGTGGATGGTGGTGGTGGTTGCACAACAAGGTGAATGTGCTTTAGGCCACTGAGCTGGTACACATAAAAATGGTTCAGATGGTGAATTCTGTATTACATATACATTTACCACAATAAAAAAATAGAAAAAGAAATTTGCCAAACTTTTTTTTTAAGTTAATGGAACTTCCAGAGTTGATGACTTTGAAGGAGGAGTGGGAGCAGCATGGCACCCTCACGTGCCCACCGAGGCCACGTCGGAAAGCAGATCCCTGGCCCAGGGTCCCGGGGGCCTCCTTGGCAAGTGTGCCTTGCAGAAGAGCCTGGCATGTGAGGAAACGTGTGGGTTCGGTGGCTCAACATGAGGCCTCTACTCTCTGAGTGCTGCCAAAGCAGCCTCCCTCCAGAGCACAGCAGGGGTGAGGGGTGTGGAGGAGACAGAGGGAATTTCCTACAGATAGAGACACGTCCCGAAAGCAGTCCTGGAAAGTCTTCAACAAAACGGAGGACAAAGTACCAGAGATTTGTCCTCCTGACAAGCAGGATTGCCGTGGGGGGTCCCCACACCCACTGGGCCCAGAATTGGGGTCCTCAACATTGATTTCCCTGTGTGGCTGGTTAGGGGAAAGAAAGGCTTGACATGGTCGTCATAGCTCTGCCAGTGACTTCCCGTGTGACTCTGGCAATGTCCCTGAGTCTCCCCACTACGGGGCCTCCTTCAGTCTCTGGGAAACAAGCTGTGGGATCCTATCCCCACAAGGGGAGAATCCTTTGTCCAGGCCACCACATGGTACCCTGGTATCCTTTGTCCAGGCCACCACCTGCCACCAGGCCTCCCAGACACCACAGCCCCAGCTACACAACTACCAGAGCTGAGATCCCAGCGGCAATGGTGCATTGGAGGGTTCATCCAGCTTTTGTGTTCTTTCCCATTCACAGCCCTGCCCCAATCCACCTCTAAAACCCCAGCCATCCCTCTCAGCAACATAACATCCACACATGGGCAAAGAGCCGCCTGCAGACCCTGTCCAGCCATGAGGACCACCACCCTCCGCTATCCTCCCAGCACTCTGAGCCCCTCCCTTACACTTCATGTCAGGGCCAACTTCCTCCCCAGCACTTACCCCTGAGCTCCAGAGCTCATCACACCAAGCAAACAAGGGTGCCTATGGCCTGGGCAGCCCAGGCTCTGTACCTTCCCTAGACCTCAAGACCTTGGTTGCAGCTGGCCCAAAGGCCCTGCAGATTCCAGGGATAGATGTGTCATCTCCCTACCCCACAACACAACCCATGGCTGCTGTGTCCCCACTGAAAACTCAGGCCCTGGGTCATTCCCCACTGCACCCATGTCGTTTAACCTTGCCCTGTCCTCTCGCGTCACTCCCTTCCATAAGCAGCCTGACCATTTGTGGCCAGGCACCACGTACTCACTGTAGCCAGAGCTAAATCCCTGACCTACTGATAAGAAGCAAGCTGAGAGAGGTTCTTCTCTGTTATGAGTGGCTGGGCAGGAGTCTAGCCCAGGCCTGAGGCTAAACCTCACACTCAGAACCTTCATATCCCTTTCCCTCTGCAAAGTTCCCCTTAACCCAGATTCCACCTGACTAGGCTTCCCTCTCCTCTACTGTAGCCAAGATCAGCAACTTGGCTGTTTCTACAGCTGAGTTGTAGCTGTTTCTACTTCTCACTTCCCATTCACTTTTCAGTTTGTTCTCATTAAGCATCTAACGACAACACTCCCTAATGCCATTCCATCTGGCATTGTTAACCAGTCTCCTCCTGCACCTGTCACCCCTTCTTCAGGACAACTTCCTCCCAGGTCGCTGCCCCATCCCCCCAGGGCTGGTGCTCCATGGGCTGTCTTTGGACAGCTTCTCTACTCACTGATACATTTCAGCCAGGCAATGCTGCTCACTCTCCTACTTCAGCTGTCAGCTGTAGGCTGAAAAGCCCGGGTCCCTCTTTCCCACCAAGACCTCTGTCCTGATTTCCACCTTGAATTCATTTGCTGTGGCCCCAAACTCATTCCTCCTCCTTTTCTCAGCCAATGGCTCCACCGCCAACCCAGAGGCCCAGCTTGAAGCCTGGGTGTAGAAGCCTGGATTTCTCTTGCCTCCTCTTCCTGCCTCTCTAACCCCCACATCCTGCCAGTCACCAATTCCTGCAGCTCCTTCCTCTTACACCAGCCCCTCCTCCATTCCCACTCCAACCTCTCCCACACTTGCTCCAGCCCCAGTGCTCCACGACACTGCTTCCCATTCCAATTCACCCTGCACACAGCTGCTGGGCTGTTCTTCCTAACATCAACCTCAGCACATTGCTCCCCTTCCCTTCAGTGGTCCCACTTCTCAGGGTAGAGCCCCTGCTCCTCAAGATGCCTGGCCCTCCCTCCCTCACCCAGCCCTATCCACATCTCCCGCACCCTTATGGCTCCCCGCTCCCGCCATGTCAAATGACTTAGTCCTTAAAAACGCCTAGGAAAATGAATGGATGGGTAAAGCTAGGATGCCCTTGAAGGTTCTTCAGGGTCTAACATTTGAGGAGCACGGCCTCACCACCCACCTATCCTCATCTAAAGGTTTCCCTCCATCCCCATTTGACAAATCAGACGTAGACAGACGTGGGCATCCTGACTCCTTCCTTGGTTCCCTCAACTAGACAACTTCTCTCCCCACTTCTCACCATACAGTAAGCTCTGTTTTCCAGAGAAGTCAGAATTTGTTCCTCCTGCTAGACTATGGACTCCTTGGAGCAGGGTCTGGGATTCACATGACCTCGAATGCCCCTTGGACTGGGTCTGATGCATCGCAAAGCTTTTGGGAAGCCTTCTGGTAACAAGCGGCCCTGTCACTGAGCAGATCTGGGCACTTCACACCACACCAGTGTGGAGTCGAGGGCAGGCACTCTCCCATTGGGATGTCCCCCAGTTACTTGCCCTCCTCAATGCCTGGAATCACCAGGCTATGTTCCCCTATCCCCTAACCCAGTGTCTTCCTCACTTGAGGAGATGAGGACACAGCACCCGCTTCCAGATCTCTCATCAAGGAGAAAACAGAGCCCCCCACGTCAGGACCCCAGCTCCGGACTCACCATGTTCATGACGGTCAGGATGAACCTCTGGGCGGCCTCGGCCCCGTGGTACTGCACCATGTCGGCGTCGGCCACCACCAGGGTCTCCACCGTGTGCTCGCTGGTGAGCTGGATGGCGTTCCTCCGCTCCCGCCAGTCCCGCGAAGGCCTGCCCCGCCTCGGCTTCTTCTTTTCTAGAAAATGATGGAGACATTTGTGCAGTCCTTGGCTTACCGACTTCAAAACCATGCAGCGAACAGGCCTTCTGTCAAGCCTGCCCGAGAGAGTGGTCCGTCTCGACAGGCCTAGAGGGGCCCAGCACCCAGCAACCTCTACTGTCACATGGGTGCCCCGAGTTCACTCATGTGGGGTGGAGCTGAACCAACAAAAAGGTAAGAGCTATGAGGCCAGATGAGGGGTCCACACCCAACTGCCACCACAGCCAGGGAGGCCAATGGGGCTGAGGGGCACAGAAGACAAAACCCACTCCTTCAGAGGAGCATGGAGAGCCACGCAAGTATGCAAAGAGAAGGAGGCCTGGACCAAGCGGGCAGGGGTCTGAAAGGCCACACCCAGGGTGGATAACTGGACCAAGGAAGCTCCCCTGGGGGCAGGAATCCCAATAACTCTTCTCGGACTCAGGAATCAGGAGCCATAAATGTTGGTAGGCATAAAAAACTATGCTTTTTAAAAAAATACAGAGTCAGCAGAACAGTCATATGACCTACATCCAGGCTAAAATGTAAATCTTCTCTTTCCTCACAATAGGGAAGGATTAGTAGTAAATGTGTGAGTAATTCTCCACTGATTCTTTAGATAATCTATATCCCTGTAAAATCTTACTCTGATAAACAGCTATTGTTATTAAAGAGCCCACACCGACAGGTCCAAAGCTGCCATAGTCTTTGTACACAGAAACACCTCTGACCAACACAACAGATTAATATGAACAGCATGCATTTTCAGAATCTGAATATAAACAGGAAGGCTTTTCTTTCATTTGATAGTTATTTCCATGTTAGCACTAGCCTATATGGACACATCTCTGCTACACACAGTCTACATATGCACTAACCGGCTTCATAAAGTGACCCAAATCTTTCCAGGACCACAAGTGGATACAGTAGGCCCTCTTTATCTGTAGCAGCTATGTTCCAAGACCTCCAGTGGATCCCTGAAACCACAGACAGTACCCAACCCTACATCTACTAGACTATGTTACGTCCTATGCATACATACTTACGATAACGTGTCGTTTATAAATTAGGCATAGTAAGAGATTTACAATAACTAATAGAACTATAACAATACACTGTAATAAAAGTTATGTGAATGAGGTCTCTCTCTCAACATCATCTTATTGTACTGTACTCACCTATTTTTAATCCCTGGTTGACCGTGAGTAAGTGAAACTATGGAAAGTGAAACCACAGATAAGAGGTAACTACTGTATTATGAAATAATCTGAGACATGGGTCATAATTTACAAACAAAAATGTGCTATACAACACAATTACAATCACAAAAAAGGGCAAAAAATAGAAATATACAACTATAGATAAAGCCAGCAACAGTAAAAAGGTACACAGCCATTAAAATCATACTATGAAGATGACTCAGAGATCTAGAGAGAAGCGGATATAAATCTGCATACACAGTTAGATCACGATTTTGCAAAAATCTTACATACAAGTATCTTCAGGCCCCAAAGGAAAATAAATACTAAAACATCTAGGAAGAACCAAAATATGAATAGTGATATGCGATCTTCATTTTCCTATTTTCCTCTGTATTTTCCAAATTTATATAATATGCAGGTATTACTGTATTTTAAAGAAATATCATTGAATTTGAGAAAAACACAAGCATCACTTTTAAACTCTAAATGATAAAACAGAAGCCCTCGAAGGAGAAAAGTATGTCATCTGATTTATCACAAAACTGCAAAACGAAATCTTCTCAGCCTGCAGGATGGGCCTCCTCCCTCAGAACCAGGCCCATCTCCCCTCAAGCCTTCTGGGCCTCAGTGATGGAATAAGAGAAGAAAGTATCCATTCTAAGACAAAATCAAGGTCCTAGGTAGCTCTACCTTTGCACATTGGCAGAATGAAAGAGGCCACTGGTGGAAAGTCTACTGACCTACACCCACACTCACCAGCCAGGTTATCTCTGACCTGACCAGCCTGGAATTTGTGAAGAGCCACCTTGTTTCCATTTTAAAGCTGCAGAGGTGATGGGCCACCCAAGCAGGACCTCTGTTGTAACCAACACACCCTCGTTCTCCCAGGCGATCAGTTATGAGCCAAATGGCAGCCGTGGCCCTTCTCAAAGTCAGTGTTGATAACCCATTTCTCTGAGTCACTATCTGCAGATGCTCCCCACGTTGGCTGTTCAGTACTTGTTTTAACACCTTGTCATGTATTTTTAAGTTCCAGTACACAAATAACTGCATTCCTAGCATGGCCCAAAGGACACATTAGGAATACTTCTCTAGGAGCCAGTTAGCATCAACATGTAAGAGCTGAGAGCTCTCTAAGAAAGTAGCCCATCACTCCCAGAACAGAGGGACAGGTTGTTCCTGGACACTTAACATTTCAAAATCCTGCACTGCACTGGGTACAGTGGTTCATGCCTGTAATCCCAGCACTCTGGAAGGCCAAGGAGGGCAGATCACTTGAGGTCAGGAGTTCAAGGCCAGTCTAGCCAACCTGGTGAAACCCCGTCTCTACTAAAATTACAAAAATTAGCCAGGCATGGTGGTGCATGCCTGTAATCCCAGACACTCGGGAGGCTGAGGCAGGATAATTGCTTGAACCTGGGCAGCAGAGGTTGCAGTAAGCCGAGATCACACCACTGCACTCCAGCCTGGGTGACAGAGCAAGACTCCCTCCAAAAAAAAAAAAGAAAATCCTGTACTGGGTATGTGTCTTTCAAGTTTACAAAGAAAAACTAATAAGACCTGTGCTCCCTAGGCCATGGAGAGTTAGCCTAACAGGGTGCCGTAAAGAGTGACACACTCTGAGTTAACACATGCCCAGAAGGTGCGCTGTGGTTTTCACAAGCTTCCACTAATGACCGTCATTTGCTCCTTTCCTTTCCCCCATTCCCTGGCACACAGGTGGTGGGAAATAAATGCTCACCAAACAAATGCATGCAGTGGGTAAAGGGGTGAATAATGACGCTTGCTGAACAGCTCATGTTGCAGGGCAGGGCTTGCCATAAAATGAGTGTTGAAATCCCTGGATTTTGGAACTGCTGACAAGACACCGGGGACTTGCATTCCTTTCCAATGCACGTGTCCTTCCTGGGGTGCTGGCAAGTAAGAACAGGAGCACTGAGGGGTGGGAAGCTAGAGGGCACCTTAGCCTTCTCCTCCCTCACTGATCTCAACCACTCCCACAGCAGAGACCCACAGCCATCATTTCTGATGATCATTCCTTTTCCTACAGGGAGAAAAGAACCCTAATAAACTTTTACCTTTAATTCTCTAAACTGCAAAAATATGCTTGATAATGTTGCACAGATGCCAATATTCACAGATGATAGCATCTTCAAAAGTAAGAAGAAAAACACTAATTTCAGAATAACACACGTGCTGGATTCTGACCTCACCAGAGAGGTCAAAGTGCAGGTGGGTGGGCGTGTGGTCAGCTGGGGAGTGTTCCAAGCTCTGCTCACGACCAGCCGTCTCCAGCTGCTGTGGGAATGAAGGGTGGCTCTCGCCCTGCTGATGAGGACATCGCAGTCATGTCAGGCCTCAAGCCTTCTCCTGTTGTCACAGACACCAGGAATCATTCTTGAAGTCAAGCCCAGCAGTTTCTTTCGCCAGCACCTTGCTGGAGTTGGTACTGACTTGGAAGATTTTCAGTCTCTGGCTTCATATTATTTTTTCTTACATCTACACTCCCTTTGCCTCAGTTATCCATTAGAAAAGAAAATTTTATGTATTTATGTAAGATACCTCAAATCCTTCTGGAACAAGATAAAGAGAAAAAGACAGAAATGTACTTTTAGAATCTTCAAATTATAATTTACTCTTCAAGTTTGGGGACTGCTAAAAATGTTGAGCAAATATATAAACTGTCATTGTAGTTACTAGTTCTCCACTTTGAAAACTAATAAAAAAAAAGTGTCTCAACTGTGAATTATCAAAGCTCTGTATGGAACAGATACTCCTTCAGTTTAGAAAGGATACAGTATCCAGGTATTTATTAGGGAAAAACAATAGGTAGATCAAAAAACATTTGGGCTGAAAATTCAAAACCACAACCCCTCTCAGAATTCCTTTATTTCCTGCTACGCAAGAAGAATCCTTGCATCTCAAATCCTACCAATGCCATTTGCAAGGAAGACCTGGGGAATGGATGAGTTGTATAGGCAAGGAGTAGCCTGCTCTTGCCACAGACCTCTGAAATCCTAGCTGCAGGAGATCCCACGACCCACATGAATGCTTGAGCTGGCAGGGAGAGCTGCTGAGAGAGGTGGCAGGGGCAGGATTCCAGCCTGTGTGGAGCCCAGAAGGTTTTGTGTGGGAACAGGTACAGTGGAGCACGGCCAGGGATGCCCATCCCCCAAGTCTCACCAGGATCTTCTGGTAGCCTTAGCCTTTGGGTGACTGCTGGACCTGCACAGACCAGGGTGATCTTGACCATAGGGTGAGGACAGTCTGATCTGAGCACCACCCCCAATGTGCCAGCCTCTCCTAGGGTCCCAGCATGGTCACACCAGCTTCCAGCACTGCCTTCGATACCCAAACAGGGTGCTTCCCAGGGGGGCCCCATCATAGCTCCTTCATGGGCAGCCTGCATCTAACCACTGGAGACCTCCAGCAGACCAGCCTCCACTGATGTGAAAAGCCTACAAGCAGCCTGCCCCACCGCTTTGTCAGCAAACATTCACCCACAGATCCCTCCCACTGCTTTGCTGGCACACACGTATAGGCAGACTTCACCTCCCCTCCCCCAAAAATACAAATGTGCATGTGCCCCCTGCTGCCGTACCACTGATGGCAGAGCACATCCCACTGCCCTACCCACCTCCACTGGGACTCCACTGCTGCTGAGGCACAGGCAGTCTGACATGCCACTATGGCTGCTGGTACACATGAGCAAGCACAGATCCCACTTCCACTGCTCCTATGAAGTGCTGTGGCCAGCACTCCACATCGAAGTGTTGGGCCAGCAGACCAGGAACA